TTAAATGATCTAAACCCCCTCCCTTGAGTATTTGTGAACCCTTAATAGAACTTCTTACTCACATCCATTGGGATACAGCATCTTGCTACATGAACACGTACTGTGTTTTCCTAGCACCCCCCATTCAGGGCACAGCACAAAGTAAATGAAGTTGCTGTGTGTAGGGCTTGTAGCTACTGAAGACATGGAAACGTGGCAGAAGCATGAAGCAGGAGAGTACAGAACAAGAAAGGATAAGCTTAGAATAACACAATGCTCCTTTAACAAACTGCCCCTGCTCCCAAGCTTTACTGTGGTACTCAGTCATGGAAAAAGCATTTTCACCAGTGTGTTCCCAGAAACACCATCTGCTCCTTTTCCAACTACAGCTAGCCTGAGACAACAGACTGCATCCAACAGCAATAGTTTTGTTATTAGTATATGGGGCAAGATGAAATCACAACTGCTCTGCAAAATCAGGCCCTTGCTTTCTCAGAATGGTCATCTCCCCTTAGTTGACCTTTCAGACTGTCCTGGTGCTCATCTGTGTGCCTCAATGCCACATGTGTGCACTGGGAATGGCAATGCCTCTCCAGCTGGTAGAAGCTGTGCAGCCATTAACATTTGCAGCTGAGTTGGAATCATAAAATCATTTAGGTTGGGAAACACATCTAAGATCATCGAGTCCAACCACTAACCTAGTGCTGCCAAGGCCACCACTAACCCATGTCCATAAATGCCACCTCTTCAGGTCTTTTAAATACCTCCAGAGATGGTGACTCCACCACTTCCCTGGGCAGCCAAATGATGCTGCGCAAGACCCTACAAGGAAATGAGTAGCACTGGAGCCCTCCAAAATGATTTGAGCTCATATCTTTCCTATGCATGAAATTGTATTTAGAAAAGCAAATTTCCCTGCACTTTAAAAAAAAAAAACTCTGTTGCATGTGTATCTGTTTTGCATGTGCAAAAGAAAATTTTGTGTACATGATGGGTATACATACAAATGGCTTTTGATTACAATGTAAGTAATGCCTTTAGAAAATTGTGTCCCATTAAATAATTCATGTTATCCTCCTAGCAGGAGAAATACGAAAGTGTCTAGTGAGGAACTAAATTAGTGAAAGTGAGGATTCAGAAAATATTGTCCTCTGTGTAGCAATAGTAACACCTCATTATTGGTTTATATAGAAAACAAACAAATGGGATAATTTGTAGCTCAGATAAGCCTTGGTTAATAGCATCATACAGGATGTAAGGGGAAATGGGAGTGCTCATTCCCCTGCCTAGATACCTCTCCTGACACAGAGCAGAAGTGCTCTGCCACGCTAACTCGAACTTGGCAAAGGGCAGATGCAGATTTGGCTCCATTAACCATCAACTGGCTACCAGAGCAGACCACAGTGTGGGGTGGATGCAATAGCTATGTCTGGGGAAGAGCTCTAAAAAATTACTCCAGCCCAGCCAGTGCAAGAAAGCAGAGACAAATTTTGCAAACCAGCTAGGCAATATGCAACTGTATTTCCAGGCTCAGGCCAGCTAGTCCTGTCTAATTGACAGTAGGGGCTGACTTTTTTATAATGTTGGAAATTTAAAGAGAATAAATCATTTTATAGACAGCAACAAGAAATACCTGAGCTCCAAATTGTGAATAGTGCTGCTAGTATGAACCCATTGTTTTTAGAGTACAATGAAATCCATTATGTCTTGAAGATCTAAATAAAATAGTTCAGCAACTAGAAAATTAGATAGAAAATAATAAGGTAATCTATGGGGACTAAATTATTGTAGCTTGGTGGAAACTGTTCTTCTGAGTGTTATCTCCACCTTCAATCTCTGTACAGGATTCCTGTTTATTCCTGGACTCATACTGATGGAGACTAGGATATAGGTCTTGGCCTTATTATCTGATAGTTTGTAATATCTACTACTTGATGACTTGATGAGAAATTACACTTTAAAAAGCTTGATATTAATTTAAAACCTACAAGGTTTTGCTCATTATTTCTGAGACAGCCTATTCAACCCCCAGTCAGCAGCTACAGCAAAGTACACTGACCCCATTGATGAGGTAATCAATTATGCTGGAACAAAACAAACTCGTAACTAGAAAGAAAGGAAGCCTATGGTTTTATACAGAGCCAGAGAAAACAGAGAGAAAGAACATTTGGCAATTGACATAGAACAAAACATTTCATATCCAGGTTCCAAGAAGATATATTTTAAATTTGTATTAAATACGATTTACAAAATCAACGTTCCTATGCTGGACAGCTTTACTTGGAGTAAATGAAGACAAACCAGGGCACACATCCAAAGCTGTGGCTCTACAGGCATGTGGCACTCAGGAATGGAGGTTTACATGCCAGCAACTGAAATTCTCCCAACTAGCAGTGATTTAGCATTCTGTGATGTCTAGAGCGCAAAAAAAACACAGGCTATGCCTTTATATCACAACCATCTGAAATCCAGGTTTAAATTCTGCCTTTATAGAAACTGCAGCACAGCTTGCTGCTGTGTGCACATTGGAGAATAAAAATGATTAATTCTGCCCATCAGTGAAGTTTTCACTTATGGCTATCACAAGCCTTTGCTGTGTGCAGCAGGGAAAAAAAAAAAGGAAAATTTTTATGCTTAGTTTCTGGTCCTTACTCAAAACCATGTAACAGCACTAATTACTGAACACTGGGAAGACTGAATAGAACACCATAAAATGCTGACTTTAAAAAGCACAAAACAGAACACCTTAAACCTAAGTACATTTACCACATGTTTTTTTTTTTAGTGCATGATTTGACAACTCTGAGTTCAGAAAAGATTTTCGTGTTAAAATTAACAAAAGTAAATAATTGGGAAAGAAGCAAATCAAGATGGAAATACACCATGTAATACAAGCCACCATGATGAACTGAACATCTGAAAAAAAAGAGCAGAATGATCAATTCCTCACCACAAGAAAAAGACATGTAAAGATTGGCTTGGGAAAAAAAAAAATTTCTCTTGGAATCACCACAGCAGGAGCCAGAAGAAGCTTTGCACCCAGAGACCTAATGTTGTCTGTTAAGCTAACAAAACTAGTCTGGAAGAAGAAAAAAAGTAAGACTTCATCTTTTCATCCCCTTCCACTTCACTGCTCATCTCCCTAGTGCTTATCTTGATCCCAGTTTTCTTTTTCTGAGGTTTTTTCCTCTCTGCCTCTCTTCCTTCCTTCCTTTTTTTTATGCTGACAGAGGAGCAGTACAAGTGCCTGATGCCAGCTGCCTCCTCACAGGAACCATGCCTTTGCCATTTGCATTGTCACATTCAACAATCACAGACTACACCACAAAGGCCCCAGAAGAGGTCAGTGACAGAGGTAGTGCTGCAAATCCAGCATGGCCCTCCGAGCCTCACAGAGGATGGATACAGAGTGCTGCAGCTGGTGTGGGTCAGCCCAAGTGCTCAATGGTGTGTCCCATCATGCCAAGGGGATCAAAGATCTCAGAAGCAGGTCAATGCCTTGTGCCATGGGACAATTTGTAAAGAAAACATGGAAATAGCCTACCTAAAGCAGCCACTTTCTGCTCAGTTTGTCACACGGGTGTAATGCAAAACTTGCTGTGACCGAGGAGAAATTCCCAGCAGGATTTTCTGTAGAACATGCTCTAGGATGCCCCACCACAAGACAATGGGAGCATGGCTGTAAGGTTGTTGCCAAAGCACAAGGGCTGCTTTCTGTACCAAACCACAAACTAAACTAATCACAACCATAAAATATGCACTAAATAGACATGTTATTCTTACATTTACATATGGAAAAATTCTAATGCAATGTATTATATTATTCCTCTGAGGTTTTATGCCTCATTTTTCTTTCAGTTATGCTACAGGAGACCTGCCCTGCACAACTCAGGCTATAATTTGCACAATAACTTTTACACTAACACCACATAAGTAACAATTAGCTATGGCTTATCCTATTGGGAGAGTAAGTGTAACTACAGGCTGTCTATAAACTGCAGGGATACAGACAAAGACACCTCATGACACATCTCAGTTCTGCACACTCTCCCCTGGAGTTCAAAACAGGCTGGGGATAGGACTCCATCCATAGGGAAGTATTACAAGGTTCACAGAACTGAATAAAGTACAGTTAAAATATAGACTTGTGTACAAGGCTGAAAATAACTGCATTTTCTAGTGTTCTTGTTAGCTTTAAAAAAAATCCTTGAATAATTTCACAATTATAAGGAATAAAAGAAGATACTCTTGGCCACATTAGCTTGATGTATCATTGAGCAATTTGCCTCATTTTTTTCTACTAATGGCATGTATAGAAATAGGAAAAAATCTGAATTTTAACACTGAAATATGAACTCTATGAATCTGTATTTCAGTGTATGCATTGTAAGCCCACAACAGGGAATACTTTCAAAAATAGAAATAAACATCCAAACTTTGAATGCACTTTAAGGGTCAAAAAGCAATGGGAACAAATGCATTATTTAATCATAAAAACCACACTCGATTCACTGCAAGGCTGAGGAGGAAGCTCTGGCTCCCAGGGGCATGTGAAATGAGGAATGCTTTGAGGGACTGCTGCAAAAAGGGCTGGAGCTTTCCCTCAGCCCTGCCTCCGCCTGGGAGAGGTGGCGAGGTCGAAAAACTGGAAGAGACAGGCAGCTTTTAATAAGAATTAGCTGCAATTTTCTCAGGAACAGTGAAGCAGGGAGGAAAAATGGTGGAAACGTTTTGCTTACAATGAAATAATGCTGTGCTTTAAAACGGAGAAGAAAGACTGTTAAAAACAGGGCCTACTCACACATGGCTTTGACTGCACTATAAAATTCTTAGCCTTTTTAATGGCTCATTGTTAGCAGCTACATCTCTACTACAGTCTCTGTGTTTTGCCTTCACCCTCATTAAGGTTTAGGTCAATTTCTTACCTGACTGACACAGGCTCTGCTCTCATTACCTTGACTCAAAGCTAACAGTAACTTTTAAAAAATGCTCACAATAATCATCAGCTATGGTATGCTTACCCTGAGGTAGTTGAGGGTGAAGTTTGTCAGACCCATTCGAGTGATGTTTTTGGACAGCTGCTCCAGCACCTGAGGGTCTTGTGCCTAAACAACAAAGGAAAAAAGAATTTTCACTTTGCTTTTTGTCGGTTTGGTTTGGTTTTTTATTATGTGCTTAGTGGAATGCAGGGAGGGCTCTCTGAAAAGAAGTGCCACTCCTACAGAAAAATTACATGTTGATGATAAATTTATGTAATAAGCTAGAGTTCTGTATGCATAGGAAAATGCAAAATGTTATGAAATTGGAGTAGAATAAAGAGTGTTTTCCAATATCTTCCTTCTGTCCCTGCCTATTGAAAAGGTAAATCTAGGAATTCTGGTCATGCACAGGGGTGCAAAGGAGCAGGGCTCCACTGAAAAAGTTCCTGAGGGATTGCAGTACACTTTGAGCCTTTTATTTGTTGGTTGGGAACCCCAGGAAATTAAACAGAAAAAGGCAGGAATAAAGAATGCATCACTTTCTTTTTGTGGGTGAGAATCTGCAGCTGAAAGACCTCATCAAAACACCTTCAGCTTCAGCAGAGCTCATCACATAAGTGACATTAAGCACAAGCTGGACAACCCTTCTGATCTAAGTTATTTTTCCAGAATTAAACAGCAAAAAAGCAAGTATAGTCCTTCTCTGACCCTAGCCAGGAGCTTTACCTGTGAGACCAGCTTCCTCTTTAAAATGAGATCAATCTCATTACTAAAATTAATACCTGCTGGTTGCTGGCTAACCTGCTTCCACTCTGAATTGCAGCAGCCTCCTAAATACATAATGTTGCTCATGGCCATCCTCATTGTCCCTTAATGGGATACTCTTGAAGAGTTCAGTCAATCAGTCCTCTAAAATAGCAGATAACCCTGGGACAGAAATGGTGGGGCAGGTTTTCAAAGGTGTTTTCCTTAGGCTTGTAATAGCACATTCAAAAAAAGTCCAGGCTGCTTAAGCTATTTAAAATTCTTCACTAAGAATATATCTTTATCTATGGATATGTAAGTAACTCAATGTAAAAATACAGGCACATCTTTGGATCTGTGTTCTTACTCTCTATAAAACCATGGTCCTGCAATTGATTTTGTATATGAGGGCACTACTAGTTGGAATGTTTCTATGATGCAGAACTGAAAGTGTCAATAAGAGTCTGTTCTTTGTTTCTCCACAATTTACCTTATTATATTTTGACTCTGACTTGTAGAATATTTAATATTTAAATGTTCCATTCTGTGTGCTTTCATTCAATTACAAAAGAAAAGTCATGAAATGTGGAACAAAAGGGAGATCTGGATTAAAATTCTAAAGGTTTCTAAGTAAATATATGGTAATTACTTCTGTCTATGCAAGGGTAACATCAGTTTGCTTCATTTAAAGACTAAATATAATTCTTACCTACAATGATGAAAATTCGCTGACTTTGGTGTAGTTCATATCAATAAGAACAGATTTTGGACCCAAATCATACAGACCACCAAGTGGGATTAAAAGGAAAATTATGTGCTAAAATAAAATGAAAACATAGCAACAGTAGCAACAATGGAGCACTGAGAAACAAGGGAGTGATGAAAGAACTTGTAAATGGATGCAGTTGCAGGCAAACCAAAATATTTATAGTTAATTGCCTTGGGTGTGAAATTTGCTGGAGTTCTTCATAAACCTAATCTCATCTCTTTGCATTAGGTCAAATGAATAAAGGATTACTTACATGCATGGCTAGAATGCTGCGTGGGACTAATTCTCTGTACTGTCTAATAGTAAAGTGCCATGTTTTTATTCTCATAAGATCATCAAAAGTAAACTCCAAGATAAGACGTCCTTCTGTGCATACCTAGAATACATAAAATGCATGAAATAAATTCCCAGGAATTTTGTTTTCAGTGGTATTGTATCATCGATGAAACAACATTCAAAAATATAAGCGCAGTATTCTACAGTTCAATTCTGCTATATTAATTGTTTTTCATTCTCTTGGGGAGAAAAAAATGAATGTGGGAAATTACTTCATAGGCCTTACCTCTGAGACAGTAACTTATAATGCTGTAGATTTTATAGCATTTTACAAACATAGAATATTGTGTGCTAAATCTTATTTATTGCATCAATTCTCTTTCTCTCACAGTTCACCACTGTTAATTAATGACTGAACCTTACAGTGGAGGTGACTGTGGTGCAACTGTGTGCACCTGATGGCAAGGTGCTGAACCAGTCATTCCCAACACGTTTTACATTGCCCTTTCCTTACAATAACTTGGCATATAAACCTTCCTTTCATATCCAGTTGGAGTACACAGTACCCTGAATGCCTGTGGCCAAACCTGACTTTTTCCCTATTTTCCCTTGTCTTTTCCAAGTGTTCTTGTCTTTTCCAGGCATTTTGTCCAGTAGTTTGGGGGTTTGGGGGGGGGTGGGTGGGTGATTTTATTTTTTTTCATTTCTTATCTATTTTTATTAATCCCCCTTCCAAAGAAAGCCAGATGGGTTGGCTGTCATCAGGCTGTATAAGCTGCATTGCCACACAGGTTTGAGAGTGAGGGGAGCAGAGGAGAGGCTTCAACCAGGACAGTGGAGCTAATTCCACAGAATGTGGCTCACACAGCTTTGTGAGGGGTCTTGTCTAAGAAAGGACAGAAAATATACGAGGAATAAATGCAGCAAGTGCGTATTACCTGAAAATGAAAAATCAAATAAATTACTGGGGATTTTTAAACAACTGTCCACAATTTCATGTGGAAAAAACACTGTGGTTGTCGTCTTTAAGGTGCAAAATATGAGCCCAGCATGGTATCTTGACTAGGATGGGGTACTGGAAATTTTGCCTGATTTTAAAATTGCTAGTTAATTGAAAATTAACTACCTCTGTTGTTGATTTTTTTTAAAAAATCAGATATTTAGACTTAGAAATCCTGTTCAAATTAAACTTGCAAGTGCAGGGTACAGAGATATTGTGGAAACAGGGTATAAGGTCTTTCACAAGAAAAGGTTTCTGTAACTTTAATTTTAATACACCTAGTATTTGATTGAACAAATAGCCATCCCAGATTCAGCTGAGTCTGTTGAGCCTTTTTACAAGCCCCAACTCAAGCTTGGCTGGGTCTCACTTGGGCAATGTGTGGTTTTTTTGGCTAACAGTTCACTTAATGTCATCATAGTTTTCCCTCGTTGTTTCTGCAAAAACACATGGGCAATTTTAACAGGCATACTATATAGGCAAATTCCTGTAGACTTATGAAGGAGAATCTTGCAACAGGTTCTCATCTGCCCTTTTCAACACACCTTAGTGATGCCTTCAAATTTTTAATGTTACTTTTTTGTCATTTGACCCTGGTTTTGATTTTCACAACACCTGTACTATGGTGAGAAATTACACAGGGGTACACATGCACACACATAAGGATTCACAGAAGAAAAACATTTTATATTCATGTTACTCTGTTGAGGCCAAAGATCCTGGTTACTGACCAGTTAACATGAAAATATTTCAGGTTTAAAATAATTTTTTAAAATAATACCTGTGACTTCTCAAATGTTTCTTCTCTTAAGCTCAAAACCCCACAGCTCTTAACAGATTTATTTTAGGCACTGGCATTAACAAATCTTCATAAAGAAACTGAAACACATTCCTTGTATCACAATGGTAAAAATTTATACATCTTATAAAGGAATTTAATTTCCTTATGTAGAGTAGAATTTTACACGATGCTTTTAATCAATAAAATTGGCACACTTCATATTTTAAAAGGGCTTTTTTTTTCCTTAAAGCTGCTTTTTTACATAGAATCCAAAAAATCAAAAGGGTCTCCAATTAAGAAAACATTTTCTGTTGTGCTGAATTCATGTTACCGTACTGTGAGCTCTGACATTTTGTTTCTGTGGTAACCAAAATCAGCTGATTAGTTGGCATGGCAACAGAAAAGATGTAATCCCAGCAGACACACTCTAATCAATGCCCCCAGCACAGATGGTCTCCGGAGGATCAACAAGAAAGAGGCTGGCAGGCATTCAGTGTATCACGTGGTTGCTCTAGACTAGGCCAGGAAAAAACTAAAAAAGAACATTTCTCAAACTAACCAATAGCTTTTTAACCCCTTCACTGCACTTATTAATTGTAGGAATCTCAGCTGCTTGTGCCTATGAAAACCAACTTTGGTTGCTCACAGTCTCCTTCTTGCTCACAGTCTCACTCTCCTAACACTGGGCGTCTTTAGAAATCTTCCTGTTTTATTAATTACCATTTCTCAAACCTGAATCGTGGCTTGAAAAGAAAGCTAAAGGTTACACAAATCTGGGCAATGCCTGAGACTGATAGTAAGGATTAAACCCACTGAGTTTCAAGGGTTTCACCTATAAAATCCAGCTGATGGCTCCACTGTTGGGAGCAGGAAGAGAACAGTTCACACACGGAGTGCTCACTGCGTTAGTGGTGAAGGCAAAGCTCATCTCTGCCAATCCATTGGGAAATACAAACATTGCTAACTGCAGAAAAACAGTTTGCCTACACATAAAGTTGGAATGTCAGTAAAGACAGTGAAAACAAGAGACTTAGGAGGACTCCTGAAACTTTCCTCTACCTGGAGAAAAAAATGAAGCATCTTCCAGGTAAACATGGTGGTCTGGGCTTCAGACTTTTATCATATTTTATTTATGCCATTGGACTATTACAAATTCTTTATAGTATTTATAACTTGCTAAAGCAATTTTTAAGCGTGTGACCCCTTACAAGGACCTCTTACCGTCTAAAGACAAGTTGGACTATTCATATTCTTACTGCTAGGCATGTTCTGGCCATATTTGTTTTAAAAAAAATTTGAAATGCCATTTTACATATTTGTCCAATACTGCAGTATGCAGTGAGTTGCTCTAACTAGCAAAATGTGGAAATGAATAAAATACAGCTGTGCATTCTTGATTTGATACATAATGAGAAGTGTTTCAGTCTGTTATATTAGACCTTAGTGAATTTTCAGCTTAGAAGTTGCTTGTGAAACTAAAACAGTTTTTATTTTTGCATTATAAAAAAAACCCTGGTGGTAGTTGCACTGGGTCAAATTCAGACATGGTCAAGGGAGCTGCACAGTCCATTGCAGTGCTGCTTATTACAGGAGGTCTGCTTTGTTCCCCCACCAATGCTGTCAGAGTAGGAGTTTACCTTTGGGTACAAGCTCTGTGCCCTCAGTATCTCTGCTAGAAGTTAAACATGCACAGCTGAGACAACATATTTCTGAAAGAGTAATATATTCTCTTCTCCCTTATTCCACCAACTACTGCATTCTATTTCAAATTTGCTCTTACTAACAGTCGCCTCTTAAACATACAAGCATCAAAACCTCCTAATTTTTCTCCTAGAATTCAAATCACATCCCTGCCTGAACTCTTCTGCCAGGACACAGAGGTTTATATTGGAATCTGCAAGAGAAACATCAGGACTGAAGCAGGCTGTTTGCTGCCAGGGCTGCTCCAGACAGAGAGACCCACTGCACACAACAGGACAATGCCACAAGAGGCAACTGTGGCCCCTCACACGAGGTGGGCACCCAGCCCAATCCATGCTGCTAGTCTGTCTTTGACTTGCTGGATGTTAGCCTCCTTTCCCAAATAACAACACTGTCACGTGCTGCCATGATGAGTAAAATAAACTCATTGAATTGAGAAAAGTGTTCTGTATTTACTGATTAAAAATCAACCAAAAAAAACCCCTTTTATTTGCTACTGCATGAAAGCTAACACAAAGGGAAATGACACAGAAATAGCTTTACAGAGCTCAGCAGAGAAGCAGCTACTGTATACCTTCAGTACATCCCCTGCACATGGCCAGCACTCACAGCTCCTCGTGAGCAGAGAGGTGCCAAAGAGGTGCTGCTAGGAATATCTGGTCTCTGTCTATCTGTTCGTGTCTGTGTAAGTCACAGGGGCTGGGCTGGGAGAGCTGGAACCCCTGGAATGACACCATTAATCACACGTCCCTGCTCACTAGTGCACCATACACCAGCAGCTTCCTCTCCCAGGCCCCACCCCAAGAGCCAGGAAGATGGCAGAGAAGACCCTTCAAAGGGATGGGACACCTGTATGTGCTAAAACAGCATCAGCCATGTGGACCCCGGTCACGACGTTGTCAATAGCCAGTGACCTAAAGTTAAAACCTCCACAGTCCTGTGAGACAAGGGCAACATGGGTAAGCTATATTCTCTTGCTATCCCTTCTCTTTTTGTTCTTTTCTTCATGAAGAGGTTAAAGGTGAACAGGTACAAGATGGAAAATCATCATTTCCTGTTAATTTATCAAAAGGGACACTTCCATTTTGAAAATCAGTTTACTGATTTCTTTTTTTCACTAGAATAAAATTTTTGTTTGAATTTTTATTTTCCACCTTTTTGGTACTGTTGTTTTATGGTACTCAGTTTAATTACAGGACTAGAAGTGGCCAATGCATGAAGATAATTCACTATCAATTACAAATATTGAATATTCACTAACTGCCCGATCCAGAGCGTGTTTAAATCAATTGACTCCTTCCATTGACTTCACTGCCCTTTGGACTGGCATCCTACTGTATTAAATCACTATTTTCCTAGAGATTTATAGTCCTTGTACTAGGTAAGTATCAAATGTAATGCACACCACCCCAAATGGTAGGTACCAGCAATGTGAAATCTCATTGTTGCTTTAAAATCAAGCCCAGAGAAAAGGAGATGGACAGGTTGAATTTAATTCATGCAAAACTGATAGTTCTGGCAACCCGGCATTATGTGCTTCTCTTGTAATCTTTCTGGGAGAATCACAGAAGATACCCACAGAATTTTCCAGTCCCATAATGAATATAGAAAACAGTAATTAAATGGCTTCAAGGGTTTTCAGTATTAGAAATAATCTCAGTCTACCAGAAAAATGCAACAGCTAATATTTTTCACCCTTATACACACGAGAAGAGAGAAAGAAAAGGAAAAACCAACAACATGCTTTATTGAGTCTTCCCTGTTACCTTGGTAAACATGGGTTTTCCATGCTGAGTGACCATGGTGCATTGATCACAGTCCACTGTGATGGATGAGTTGTGGTATGACTCTTTTGAGTGCTTGAGAATGTAATACAGGTCTGTTACACCTCCTTCAAAGACTGTGCTAAAATAACGAGGAATGAGGGTCCTTCCAATTGCTGTGAGAAAAATACAAAGCAGAATTCAGCAAATGCTCTAGGTTAAAAAATCTCAAACCATTTGCTAACAGAACATGAATAATTTTAAGTGCAGTGAAATCAAACTTTCATTTAACGAAGATAATACATGTTCCCTCCCTTTTGTAGAGACAAAGTTGTGCTGTTCCCATTGAAATCAATGAAAATGGCTGACTCCATTCAGAGAGAGTGGGCTCATCGTATTTAATCTTTTTACATTGATGGCAAGTTAGATTCACTCTTGAAACCATCTGCAAGGTTTTTTGTCCCAAAGTAATTATTATACAGAAAGCCACATGGTGTCAATTACGGCTGAAAGTTGGCTATTACCCATAAGTGTATAAATACATGTGGTGAGCATTTACAGAAATATACTTTTACACCCAAAAAAGCAAATCACATCTATATAGGGGGGTTGTGTACACATATATGTTTGTTTGTGTGTGAGCACATGTATATTTCTAAATACCCACCCATACATGTATACACACACACACACACACATGCACACAGAGTCTTGACTGGATAGGAGGGAATACTGCTGAGAAATCAGAGTACTGTGGATTGAAGGAGGATCTGAGAATGCAAAACAATATATGTTACACAAGATATGACTACCTACAGGTCTCTGAGATGTCTCTTTAGACTAATATTTATGTCATAGGCTAGAAAGCCTGAGCAGATGCCTGAACTCTCTTTATGCACTACTTAAACCCCAAACTATGGACTCAAGGTACCCAGATCTGCAACACTTAGGCAAAACTGTTACTAAGTCACAGCTCACTTCAGCAGTAGTGTCAGGTAAGTACTACAGGGTCTAATTCCAAATACATAATAGTAATAGTGAGCTTCTGAGAGTACTTCAGATGCACAAACTAGCAGAAGCACTGACATCAAAAGCAATTATCTCATATGTAACCGATACTTTTCATCTCCTTTCTTACAGATAAATTTGGATGTGACCACAAGCCTGGTATGACAGAACACTTCAGTTTATAATAGACCAATACTTTCATACCAAATGACTCATGCGTTGCATGCGTTAATCAATCCACAGTAATTCTGAGTGGTGGATACATAAAAACTGCCTCCATTTCATAGGGAAAAAACAAGCAATCTAAACAGACATTTGGAAGAACGAGATAGAAAAGTCATCATCAACAGGCAATATTAGAGTTTATTAGGTCCTAATTCTTATTTGTCTGTTAGGGCTCTGTGGTGACTCATGCCTCCCTCATTTGCTGTATACTTCTGAGAGCAATTTCTAAAATAAAATATTTTCATAGAAATTTTGCCAGCACATGCACAAAGGCTCCTGACCCTAAAAATGCATTTGCAAATGGTGTTGCAAATTAATAAATACAGAATTTTCACAGCAGCTCTGTGAAGACTGCTTCTGTTCTGTGCATTACAATGTGGAATATTGCACGTGCAGTCATAATGCACATTGTATAATGAAAATATGTAAATATAGAGAATTAGGACTTGTTAAACTTTTCCTGTAATATTAGATATCGATGTAGTTTCATGTACAAAAATATACCACACTCTCTGGAAGTGGCTGACAATTCAGTGAATACATTGCAAGACTATTCTATGACTCTAGCTCCTAAAAACACCCACCCACTCACCATGCATATATTAATTTTTTACAGTCTTTTAATTTAATTTAGAAAAACTGAAGTCCAGTGTATTAGCATAGGATTCAGCTCATGCTTTAACTCAAATTTCTCCATGTTGGTATGGTATATAGTAAAAAGTGAAATTTACCCATCAAGTTAATTTCTTGCTCCCTTAAGGCTAATTAGTGCAAATTAAATTTCCTGCTAATCATCTTAAGCAGCAAATGTGTGATATGAAAATCCAGCATTCCTACTGATTGTGATAAACCTCTATTCATGTGACTTATGCACTGCATAAATATCTTGAAACTATTTAACTGCAGTTTATAGACTGATCCCAAAGTAGCATGGTCATATGATGTTGCTTTTCGCCTTGCATTCACAGCTACAACACATTAAAGAAGGCTGAAAATACATTAAATAACTTCTTCTTATTACTCTTCCTAGTAAGCATTATCTGTGTTTGCCACAGGGATATGCTACTGTGAATAACAAAGTGGGAGACCAAAAGGATGAAGAGGAATAGAGGTGCACACAAGGATACGCTCCACAGAACCTGATTTTCCGTGACAGATGCACATGCAGACCCTGTCGGTCTGTAAAACTGAAAATAGCTAATGCAAATATCCAGTTTAAATTATTATAGCTAAATATTCAGCTCCAGAAGAAACATTAATGGAAACCTATATTAATGAGCAGACCTGCCCTCAGCTCACTAGGTTGCTTGGGCACAAAAGACTGAAGCAGGTTCAAGGTTTTGGTTCTCTTCCTGAAGCACTCAATGGCTTAAAAAGATTATTTCATTTCTAGGATAAACATGAAACTCTCTACAGTGGTAACAAAGTTTATTTGTGCAGGAGATGATATTTCCAAGAACAACAAAAGGCTATGGAACAGCTCTTATAAAATCTAGAGATCATCACAAACTTTGTGCATTTTTAAGTGCAAAGGATTTTTTTCTCTTCCAAAACATAATTGTGTAGATGACTATTCAAGCACATGTATATATGTACCCCCTGCTCTGCTGCATGTACCCATACAATCCTTTCCTGGGCAAAAGAATGGGAACATGGCAAAGGTGCTTCTCCTTCCCTTCTTGCAGTAGATGGATGCTCTCAGGAAACCCTCAGAGCCAGCACACAGATCTTAGCCATAGGAGCTCCAAGCATGAGCATTTGCAGTTGCAGCTTGAGTATGGGAAGATTCTGGTAATTTCCTTTCCTGTTGTCAAGGCTTTATTATTCTCCAATCTTTTTTCACACCTACCTCCATGGTCCAATTCTCTGTTTTCTCCCCTTATGGCTGGTTGCTTACATAGGTTATCTTTCAAGTTCACTGTTCAACTCCCTGTACCTCCCTGTCTTCTCTCCCCCTCTTTGCATACTGCCCCTTTTTCTTTTGGCAAGGAGGCTTATTAACCCATCCCAAATCTACGTGATTTCCTCATTCTTCTCACTTAAACAGACCCAGCTATCTAGTCACAGTCTCCTTGTTCTACTTCACTCTCTCCAAAATGCCAGCTTCACACACACTTTTTTGGTGTTCTTCCTATCCAGCCAGGCTTCCCCAGCTCCTTTTCCCAGGCTCCCTGCCTCAGCAGACTAAGCCCTTCTGGATCTTGATTTTGTGGTTTTATTTTCCCCAAGATTATCTGTCTGCACTTTCTTACTCTGTCTCCTCCTAATAGCAGATTCTTTCTCCAAATGAGTCCCGTATCTCCTTCCTTTCTTCTGCTTCTCATCAGCCAGAAACCAACCAGGAGGACCTCTTTCCTCTGTTCCCCCGACCCAGCCAAACATCTCCATGTTCCCTGTGTTTTTCTCATTGACTTTCAGCTCTTCCTTACTTAACCATCCTCTATCTTCTCCTTTCACCACCCAGTTACTGTTTCACTCCCCTTTATCTTATCAGTGTCATCTTGTCCTGAATTATTCCCTTATTTGTTTTTTTCCCCTCCTCTTCCCTTTTCTTTTCTCTACATTCAGGTCAAGTTCCTTCCTTTGTAGGACCACCTGGATCCCGGGAGCATCCGGCAGCAGTGTAGGAGGAAGCGTTTCCTGCTCTTGCATGCAGCACTGGCTGAGCCTTCCCTGTGGGTTTTGCAGTGGAAATGACCATGACTCTACACAGCCCTGAGCTGCAAAATGTCTAGTTACATGTAGTAGGCATGTGGTTGCCCCACTGGGCTCCTATCAGGAGTCTTACCATGTTCCTGGGAAAGGGAGACCTTGGGAATTTTAGCTGTCAAACTGTAGTAAAACCTGTACTGAGTACTTGATAATGGGTACCTTTTTTCCCCCCCTTTTTCTGTTAAATTCAGTCAGATTTTCAGCCAGGTGAGGACAAAAAGAACACCTCTGCCACAAAGGTGAGCAACCCTACTCTAGAGCATAGAGATTTTTAGACATTTAAAAAAGAAACTTGGAAGACTTTTGTAACATGGACAAAACATACTTTTCCATTTGGAAGGAAAAAAATAAATCTTTTTTTTTGGCTTACATAACAAAGAACAAGCTAAAAGCAAAACCTATTTAAGCTTTATTAGGTCAGTCTTAGCAAAATTATAAATAAGTAGAAAGAAGGCATTTCCATGGTACTTATCAAACAATACTAATAATAGATGCTATATAATCTGCTTGCAGAGTACATTAGAACAGCCTTGCTGCAGCTACTGAGGCTCTAAGCCCAATAGTCAGGCTTAGGAAAGCAGATGTAGGTTCATACCTGCATCTATACAAATACTACCAGGCTCGTACTGTCCCATTACCCAGAAAAGACCATTTTAGAGTGTGAAATGTGACACCCTGCACTGTAAGATACCATATGTAGTAGAAGGAAAATTCACCTGCCCCTCAGCATTCAGGCATTAATTCCAGACCACTGGAATGCTGCTTTAAATTATCATTTTGTCCTGGGCAGCATCCTTCATCCCTAGCTGAGTGTCTGAGGATATACCATTTCCCATGAGAAGTGGGCACTGCCACTTAATGTTTCCTTCATTTGTGCTAGCAGCTCTCCAGTTAGCAAAGCAAACTGACAAAGATCAGCAACAAGAAATAGCTATTTATATGAAAATGTCTCTAAGAAAGGCATACTTGAAATGCCTATTTTGCACAAAATAGAATATTGTCATCTGCTGGCATAACATAACTTTAGCCTAATTTGTGGTGCAACGGCTTGGCTACATGTGATTCCATATCAGAGCACATCAGTAAATGTGATTTTCATGGATCAGAAACCAAAATACAATTTTAGAATTGAAGTAAGATACATTTGTGACACTCCCCCAAGTCTGAGCATCCAGAAGTCAATTAATTCAATTTATGAACATAGGCAAGGAGCTTTATAGGTCAATAACAGTTATATTATATATAATTTCTGAAGTATCACACCTGGGGAAGTCTAAAGACTAGAGTGAAACCACCTGACATATTAAATAGCCCAAGGCCTGACTCTCTGTGTGGGATGCACTGCAGTCAAATTCCTGATTCTTGGCCTGGGCATACAATGATGATGATTAGGGTTGCCCCTGTGTCATCCTGGTCCTAGGAATCATTATTTTCATGCTGTCCTTTAATTTACTTTCCCTTTTAAATATGCTTGCCTGAGTGTAAAATGCTTGATCCTGTCAGGAACATATTGAAGTTTAGAATTATTTTACCACCCCAAACTGAGTCAAAAAGTCCAATGTTTTCTAGATGGGAATGTCCATAACTTGTGAAGTTCAGGGTTTTTGCAAGACTGAGATGAACTATGGGCAGTTAAAAAGTAGTTTGTAATATAATTGTGGTACCACCACACAGAGTGGTGGGACCACAATCCACCACCATCACCACCACACACAATGTGGTGGTGATAATACTGTTGGTTGGTTTGGGATTTTTTTCCCAAGGAAGACTTGAGAAAAATAGAAAGTAAACATGTTTTTCTAGTTCACAGGAAACTGGTATTATTTGTGGGCTAGGAATAGAAGAACATTTCCTCCCTTTGTGTGCCAAAGATAGGCTGTCAAAATCTCAATGCCCTCTCTACAGAATGAAGGGTCATGGCCTCTTTGCAGAAGCAGGGCTTGATAGCAAACCCCACCTTGCTCACTGAACTGCTCATGTATTGCCTTTACAGTAGAAGCTCTCAAGGGCAGAGACTTGAATTTAACATATACATATACACCATGTAAGATAACTGCCAAGTTGGTATAGAAAAGAAACAATGGAAGTGTTAATCAGTGAAATAAAAATATTGGGTTTATCGCTTCCAGGCAAGTTTTTCCAGCTCTGAATCCTGTCAAGTCTTATGTCCTCAGCTTGAGCTAGGTTATAAAATAAGTAATAAAACAGAAACAAATAAAAACATAAAATATAAAATATAAAAAGCTCTTAAAAGTTCCACGGAATCAGCAACAGAATGAAAAAACATCCTCTGCCTATAGCTTAAAGGAGCTCTAGAAGGTGCCTGCAGCTGATTATCTCATCAACATGCTGTAGATGGGCTTGAGAAACTTTGCTGTTTGGGGGGGAGAGGGTTTTTTGGCTCCCAACACAAAATGTTGAGCTGTCCCATAAAGCTCTAGGCAGACTATAGGAGTCTCTTGCTTGAGAGATTATCACAGCTGGATCTCAGTAATTAAATGGAGATGCTACGACTAACTCTCCTCAGCCAGATGCAGGGGCTGTGGAAGTCAGGAGACAACTTCCCACTGATGCAAATGAACTTTCCTGAGCACTGCAGAAGAGAACATGAGCTTTCTGTTAATTGTTAATTGACATCTCTGGGCATGGCTAACTAACATCTGCATGGGCCAGAGCTTGGCATGTTCATGTACATATGTTTCTGTAACTGAAATAAACAAATCAGTACACACAGAGAAAAACGTCATGGGGTCACATAGTGATATCATTGCTGTTATTCTGCCTATACTTCTCCTTGCCCAAAATTGTCCCATTGAAAGAGCACATCAGCTGTGTTCTCTGCTAGACACAGTCCATCTGGCTGGGATGTGAAGGGAGGGATCCCTGCAAGAAGCTGCACAACAGTAAAGCTCCAGTTTTCAGTACTGTAACCTGCTCTCTGGAAGAGCTGCACAGCAAGCCACTCATGAAACTGCCCCTCCACCTTTGTAAGACCTTATCTGGTGAGTGGATTCAAACAACACGAATCTGTCAATTCCCAGGAAAAGCTACTGTCAAATTTGAAAGTGTGGCACAGAAAGCAGTGAAAAGACAGTCTAATAAGTCCAAACTCTGTCTCAGAAACATGTAGGCCATGTTGATTAAACCACCCACATGTATCCAAGGCAGAATCTGGCACATGCAGACCTGTCCTTTTATTCTCCCTATCTAGTGGGTAAGACTGGGGTCCTATCATGTGGACTACTTACAGAATAGAAATTAGAACGTATGCTTAATTTCCACTTTATAGAAATTTCTAGTTATTTAGACAAATTAGATATTAAGTAAAATTAAATGTATGATTTAAAATCTATACAATGGTAGTAATAATAATAATGTCCTAGATTACACTAGTGTACTCTTAATAGTAGTATACTAGTAATATACTTCATTGTATTTGCACATTCAGAAAATATCCATATAATCTACAGACATTATAGATCTTAAACTCCCTTAAGTTTGGAAGGCAGTGGAAGTACTACTCCCGTATTGGTAGTAAAGCACACCTTTTGAGGAGTAAAATTAGCATTATAAATATACTTCCTATGTACTTACCATTTCTTAAACTTTTAATCATCTACTTAACACTTCCTGAAAATTGTGGAAATCTAATGTTTCCAACTATTTTGCTTTTGTTCTCAACTTTTTAACAAAATTGCAAAGTGGGATGAGTTGCATGGATTCAGTGCTGTGACTGAGTGACCTGAATGCTTCCCACAATAAGAACCCAATGTCTTGGAATGTTTTTGCTTAGATCCATGATACTTTCATGGTATCTGCAACAACTTGTTTGTTTTATGTCAATAACATTGCCTACAGTTAAAGGCTATAACCCAAAATATTACATTTTATCAAACTGTAAATGTCTCAGTTTCCCTCTCCAGTTCCTTATACCCTGTGTAATTCAATCATTGTATTAGGTTTGACTCTGCTTTTTCTCCAATAAGTATTTTCTAACAACATTTTACCCTGGTGAGGATTTGTGTGTATAATTTTGATTCAGTTGACAGTGAATTTCCTTTGCTTGAAATAGTGTAACCAGCACTTCAGTCCTCTAAAACACACTTGAGTCAAGAGCAAGTAACAGAAACTTCATGACAATGAGACCTCAGCTTAACTCCCCACACCTTATGACCCTTATTCTCAACAGACACATAATCTGCAACTCAGTCTTAAATCCTTCATCTCTCTGAAGAGAGACAATATTTCACTATAATTCATTCTGCTAAAAACATTCAGAAAACAACTATAAAAAGCTCTATATGCCTCAGTACAAAGCTAAATTGCATCAGCATAGTTTTTAATTAAGACTCAGCCAGCCTACCTATTACAATAAAATTTCCTCCCAACCCTTTCCTTATTATACTAGCAGCAGACCACCAGCCTTTAAAGAATTGCTTACTACAAAATCCAGTCTTCAGATCTCGAGTATTTCAGCCTCAGGCTAAGAGAGTCTGGACCAGGAAATGTAGAGAGAAAGCAGCAAAGTCCAAGATCCCTTTCACAGGATAGCAGCTGGGCTTGGAGGCACCTCTGGGGATCATCTGTCCAACCCTCCACTCAGAGCAGGTCACCTGCAGTGGCTTGTCTAGGACTGTGTCCAGTTGGGCCTTGAATATCTCCAAGGATGAAGCCTT